CCACCCCACCATACACAAACAGAGCTCCATCAAGACACTACTTAAACGAGCCGCATCACACTGCCAACACCCCAGCACTCCGGAGAATGGAAGAGGATCACCTGCACAAAGTTTTCACTGACAATGGATACCCAAGAAGTTTCATCCTCAGGTGTCTACAAAATAAACGACAGTCAGAGCACACAGTACAACAGAAGACTCTAACAATGCTACCCTACATCACAAATAATCAGAAACAACAGTAAACAAGACCAACATGTTATACAGAATACCATGCAGCGAGTATGCACTTGAGATGCTATTGATCGAAAATTGGATTCAGAACATTACATTAGACAAACAGGGAGGAAACCGATGACCAGGATACACGAACACCAGCTGGCAGTAAAAAGACACAACCAATATTCACTTAACTCAATACACACAGACAATGAGGGCCATCAGTTCAACTGGGACAAAGTGACCACACTGGGACAAGCAAAAAGCAGACATGCACTGGATTTTCTGGAAGCCTGGTTCTCAACACGGACTCCATTCACAAACACATAGAAATAGCCCCTGTATACAGACTGCTGCTAAAACAACAGAACCAGAAGCGGCAAGACCATCACACCAGAGGACCATATAAATCCAGAAGGAAGCAGAACACCAATCCTTTGATTAGATGTTGCACTGATGATGTTGCCTAGAAGGGTAACAAAACGTCTGCACACCATAGAACAACCAGCTCAGCGAGCTAACAAACAACTGTATGGTTGCAGTAACAGAATTAGCTGCCTGCTCCGGAATTTAAATGAGGTCATAAGTTAGCACAATGGTAGCCTTGAGGAGGTGTTCCCTCAAGATAACAGGGTTTATTTTGAACAAAGAATCTTACAAATTAAAATACAGGGAATTCTGCACAAACAGCAGCTGCAGGGGGCCATAGGAGACAGTTCGATTAGAAATGTCTAAGAACAGACAGCCTGAAATTTGTAGCAAGCAGTAAAGAGAAAAGTAGGATCCCATAATAACCGACACAGATGATACAGGTGGGATTATGGCTTGTAAAAATCTCGGAGATCGGACAAATTCATTGAGCTGTGAAAGTGATTGAGTTTTAGTCTTATCAATGAGAAAGATGTTGTTTCATTAGGTAAAAAGAATTAGTCAGAGCAGCGGCCATAAATTTCATCCCAGAAGACAGTATGTGACTAGAATTAATAATTAGTAATATATCTGGCTTTCATTCTGGATATTGGAGTACATGCAACTTCTTTTTCCATTGTCTCAAAGATTTGGCAGGAATTGAACACTGCGAGTCTTGCATTTGGTTATTTGGGGGAAAGAAAGCTCTGCTAGTATTTCCTGGATTCATGGAAATTTATGACACAGGAGAAGGTCTTCCAGCTCAGTACACGTGTGCCAGCTGAAAAGGAGCTGTCCATCTGAATCCAATTTTCAATCAAAAGCATCTCCAGTGCATATCTACCAATGTTTTAAATGGGCTGTGGATTTCTGCCTCTCCACTCTTTGTGGCAGTGTTCCAGATCCCCATCCACACTTGAAACCACCTACCAATTACTTCCAATTGATGCACGTTCTGCTATTAGCCTCCTTAACTCAGGGAATATTGGATATACTCCAATGTCCTAAATGATACCGAGATGATTAGACTCAGTGACAGAGCACTACTGCATAAAGTAATAAATATTTTCAGTAAGATGTGCCAGAAGCATTTAACAATTTTGGCCAAGTATGCTGCAGTGTCTAGCTTCCATGCATGAAAGAAATACTTTTATTTGCTGCAAGAAATGACGTTTCTATGAATATTATAGAATTAGTACTATTGTGAACCCTTAGCAAAAGGACATATGCTTTCTCAGGTGTCTCTTCAGGAGAAAATAAAACATTCTTAGCGGATGACACCAAAGTCGGTGGAGTTGTGGATAGTGCGGAAGGATGTTGCAGGTTACAGAGGGACATAGATAAGCTGCAGAGCTGGGCTGAGAGGTGGCAAATGGAGTTTAATGCGGAAAAGTGTGAGGTGATTCACTTTGGAAGGAGTAACAGGAATACAGTGTACTGGGCTAATGGTAAGATTCTTGGTAGTGTGGATGAGCAGAGAGATCTCGGTGTCCATGTGCATAGATCACTGAAAGTTGCCACCCCGGTTGATAGCGTTGTTAAGAAGGCGTACGGTATGTTAGGTTTTATTGGCAGTGGGATTGAGTTTCAGAGTCATGAGGTCATGTTGCAGCTGCACAAAACTCTGGTGCAGCCGCACTTGGAGTATTGCGTACAGTTCTGGTCACCGCATTATAGGAAGGATGTGGAAGCATTGGAAAGGGTGCAGAGGAGATTTACCAGGATGTTGCCTGGTATGGAGGGAAGGTCTTATGAGGAAAGGCTGAGGGACTTGAGGCTGTTTTCGTTAGAGAGAAGAAGCTTAAGAGATGACTTAATAGAGACATACAAGATGATCAGAGGATTAGATAGGGTGGACAGTGGGAGCCTTTTTCCTCGGATGGTGATGGCTAGCACGAGGGGACATAGCTTTAAATTGAGGGGTGATAGATATAGGACAGATGTCAGAGGTAGGTTCTTTACTCAGAGAGTAGTAAGGGCGTGGAATGCCCTGCCTGCAAAAGTAGTAGACTCGCCAACTTTAAGGGCATTTAAATGGTCATTGGATAAACATATGGATGATAATGGAATAGTTTAGGATAGATGGGCTTCAGATTGGTTTCACAGGTCGGTGCAACATCGAGGGCCGAAGGGCCTGTACTGCGTTGTAATGTTCTATGTTCTATGTTCCAAGTTCAGAGGTACTAGCCTACCCATTCTAAAGCTTCTTCAATTTTTTACACCTCAATTAAATCCGCCGTAAGTCTAGTCTGTTCCAAAGAAAACAAGTCCAAACTATCCAATCTTTCTTCACAGCTAACACATTCCCAGTTCAGCAGTATCAATAAATTTCCTCTACTCCAGCTCAAATTCCTATGATGTCGTGACGAGAACTGTATACTATTCTCTAGCTATAGCCAAACTAGTGTTTCATGAAGTTCCAACTTTGACTGCTATGATGCTGTTACATTATATGGCATAGAGAATAGTATATTTCATATTCCTTCTCAATCACTGTGCAGGCTTAGGACCCTGTGATACGGACTTCAATGTCCCTCTGCTTCTCTTATAAATGCATAGGAAAGCAATATATGAGGATGATCGAATAGTCTGGAAGGGGATATAAATTGGTTAAGTGAGTGAGCAAAAAGTTGGCAATGAAGTATATTGTGGAAAAATGTGAGGTTGCCCACTTTGACAGGAAGAAGTAGAAAGCGGAATATTATTTAAATAGAGAAACACTCCAGAATGCTACAGCACCAAAGGGCCTGGATGAATCACAAAAGGTTAACGGCAAGTACTATAAATAATTAAAAAAGCAAATGTAATGTTGGCCTTTATTGCAAGACATATTGAGTACAAGTGTAGGGAAATCTTGACAACTGTGCAGGGTGTTGGTTACACCGCACCTTGTGTGCTGAGTGCAGTTTTGGTCTCCATAGTTAAGGCAAGCCATATTTACATTATCTAAAGTTAAACACACAGGAAGGCAATAATATTATTGTCTAGGTATGTTGCATTAAGGAAGATGAGGTGATGGCATTAAGACTTGTAGGCCAAGTCATAGCAAAGGTGCAATGCACTTTGCACACACAACATGACTAGCTAACATAACAGGGTCAGTGCATATTACATATATAAGAATAATTCAGATCATGCAACACTCCAGATACCAAGAACATTTAAAGTAATGCATTGCGGAAATCTACGGTGAGAAATGTTCTTTATTTTTGAATGGCCTATTTCTAAATTCAGAACATTATCCATTATCTTCAGCCTTCAACAGTCACATTGAGGAAGGGATCCCTAGGTCCTCAATGTTCTCTGGACAGTCCCTACCAGAATAAAGATATTCAAGCTGCATACCTGAACACTCAATGAAAATGAAGCAGGCCCCTTATGAGCCTGCTTGTAGTCAAGAATTGCTTGACAGAACCTGTAGCATCACCTCAAAACATACTGATCATCATAATAATGCATAAACTCAGAGTGGATCCATGCCAATCTGATGGAATAAGAATTGGTTGAATTGTCAAGGAACAGAAGAAGCTTGCAACCTTTTTTTCACCATAAGGGTGAAGTAAGGGCGTGGAATGCCCTGTCTGCAAAAATAGTAGACTCGCCCACTTTAAGGGCATTTAAATGGTCATTGGATAAACATATGGATGATAATGGAATAGTTTAGGTTAGATGGGCTTCAGATTGGTTTCACAGGTCGGCGCAACATCGAGGGCCGAAGGGCCTGTACTGCGCTGTAATGTTCTATGTTCTATGTTCTATGTTCTATAAAAGACTAATTAAAGATAGTAATTCTTTCCCTTCAAGATCAGTTGCAATCTTGGACCATCTTCCAAAGTTCCACAGAAACAGACCTACTCAGGCTTCAGTGGGTACATTGTGCAGAATTGTCACTGTAGTCAATAATGTTACTTCCCAGTCAAGCCCCTTTGGTATAGAAGAAGTAACAGACCGAAGATACACCCTCAGCCCCACTAGACTTTACCTGGTCGTCATAAATGGGAAGAATTCCCGAGAACCCAGATTACACCCAGAACTACCATCTGGCAGGTTGATTTCATTCAATTTGCACCCTGGACACAACTGGACCCAAACAATACCCATGCATATAGCCATGGACCAATAGCAAAATTATGGCAACATTATAAGGGTACATAACAGCTTGTCACTTGCTCTTGCTTGAGATATCAGCCTGCGTGATGTGCCCAGCACTTCAGATGCTATGTGCTGGAAAGAAAACTAACAGAACAATGAAAAGCCATTATCAGATGTAACAGGCAAGCTGAGGTAACACAAGCAGAAATAGAAAATCTAACATGGTACATTAACAACTGAAAGAAGAGTATCATAACATCAAGAAACAAGTTCTCACTCACCAAAGACAAATTTTAAAATTGTTTCTTCTGTCCATTCGTCAGTGAACCAGCATCTCCAGAAGAACCCTTCATGATGATAAGTCAGAGTCATCTGCTTCTGTAAAATCATCCAGAAGAAAACAAAGCATAATTTACTAGATCAAAGCTCACAGAAATCAAATTTCTGAGGTAATTATTCCATATATTAATTATTTGATTGATAATGATTGATTCTTCGATGAACGTTAATTTTAAAATTGTAAATTTTGGGTTGGTGCACAATGAAGATGGGATCTTCAAGTGGTGGCAGTGAGGGTCTTGCCTGTTGACTGTAGTGCTGATAAGACATTCACACTGTCTCTCCCCAGAAATTCTCACCGGATCTTCCTCCAAACAGGCAGCTGCAAGACCACCAGTGGGCCTTCCTCTGAAATCAAAACCCTAAGGGCAAAATTCCCATCCACCATAGCTACCAGGCGATCAGAGGCCAACAGCACTGTGACCGACATAACACAGTGTCAACGGAGGCTGCAGCTACTTTGGGAACGGCAATACCCAGAGTCCAGAAACACTGAAAAGGGTAAGTAGTGTTTCTAGGTAGGTAGGATTTCTTACGGTCAGAGTCATGGAAAGATGTGGCCAGGGGCTAAGAAACAAGGGTTGAGGGGTACCTTGTGTGCAAGCATGTGACACATTAATGTAATGGGTTCAGAGCAGGAAGCTAAATAATAGAAAAAAGAAAACCCTCAAAAGGGATGTCTCTTCAATTTTAGAATTTCATTTTTTGAAAATAGCATTCTAAGAACCTATTACTTGAAAGAAAGGAAACAAAAAAAATCTGGAGTACTCAAATTAAACAGCAATTGTGCAAAGAGAAACAACTGATAGCTTTGAATTTTGCTGAATCAGGCTGACTTGAAAAGCGAACAGATGAGGCCACGTTCTGGGAATCCTACTCTCATTCCATAGAATCATAGAATCCCTACGGTGCGAAAAGAGACATTTGGCCCATCAAGTCCACACCAACCCTCTGAACAGCATTCCACCCAGACCTGGCACTCCCCTCCTAGTCCTGTAATCCCACATTTACCATGGCTAACCCACCTAGCCTACACATCCCTGGACACTACGGACAATTTCACCATGGCCAATCCACCTAACCTGCACATCTCTGGACTGTGGGAGGAAACTGGAGCACCCAGAGAAAACCCACCCAGACACAGGGAAAATATGCAAACTACATGCAGACATTCACCCAAGGAATTGAACCCGGTCTATGGCACTGTAAGGAAGCAGTGCTAACCAGTGAGCCACTGTGCCAGCCCTATTCCATTTTCCAGCAATTTGCTCCAGCTCTGGATAAGGGCCTAAGTAGCCTCATGTCACTTTCCTTGTCTTGCTGGCTCCAAATGCAGATATGGGAGGTTCAAGCCCTCTTTTCAGATTTTTGGGAATCAGTTCCATTCCACTGTTATAAGTAATTAATGGATTCTTGGAAGTCATGAACCACATGGCAAATCCAATTTCAAGTCATCAGTAAAAAGACACAACAATTCAATATTCCTCTCTAAATAAACTGACTCTCCTACCTTTTCATGAATGCTGTCAATTAATCACAGACATTCATATTATCAATTTCAGAACATAAGAGGTAATAAGAAGTCAGAGCAGGGGTAGGCAATTTAGCCCCTTGAGACTGCTTTGCCATTTAATATAGTCACAGCTGATCTCATCTCAGCCTCAACTCTACTTTCCTGCCCAGTCTGCATAACCATTGAACCCATTAGTAATTAAAGTCTTTTTATCTCCTCCTTAAACTTACTCAACGTCCCAGCATCCACCACACTCTGGGTTAGTGAATTCCACAGATTCATGACCATTTGAGAGAAGTAATTTCTCCACATCTCAGTTTTAAATCTGTTACCTCTTATTCTAAAGCTATAGCTCCTCCTTCTAGATTCTAGAAGCTTGTATCCACTTTAGATTTATTAACCTTACATTAATTTCGCAACACAATTGTGCAATTTTAAAACATTTTTCAACAAAAAGTAGGTTGTTGCAAGATAACAGAGTTATAAATTAAACAATGCTTTTGATCCTTTCCACAGCTGTCTGACCATTGCTTGTTGAGTGCCAACTGCATGATTCATGCTTGGAGCTTAGCCAGACATTCATAATGAGACTCAGGGAAGAGGCTATCAGATTCGCAACAATCCTGGAGTTGAAATATCTGTTAAGTGAAGCCCAGTAGATGTGAGAAAGAAGGGAATTCTCTCTGGTGTTTGAGTGCTGTAAGAGTGTGCTATTTGGATTAATGATATTGTATTTCACCACATTTTTAAACCTTTAAACTTGCGTTACATGCAAATACTTTGGTTTATTCTATTTTGTTTTCTTCATTTCTTTTCTGTAATAAATTTGTGTTTTACTGTTAAAGCAAATACACAAGGTGCTTGTGATTCATTGAAAGACCACCTTAGTAAGACAAAAAATAAACAGAAAATACGACCTCTCAAGCCAGATATTAGTCTGGGATCTGACATGTTCAGTAATAACATCAGCTTGGATCATAGCAATACCAGTGGTATAAAGGAATATGGTGATAATGTGGGAAAAGGCATTGAGTAGATGATCATCCATTATTGTACTAAATGGCAAAACTGACTCGATGAGAAGAATGGCTTTTTCTTGCTTTCATCTTCCTATGTGAATGCATTTGGACATCCACAAGGAGTTGATATAGTTGCAGAGAGGAGTGTAAGCTTTGTTTGATACCTTCTAATAACCTGCTTCGTCTTTGAAGGGTTTTTGACTGCCTGTGCATTTAGTTATAAAAAGAATAAAAGGACTGAAGTAAATAAAAGCTTCTGATATTGACATTTGTTGGTTGACATTTTTAGCTTTTAGGAGATGTTTTGGTCATAGAATCATAATTACAAAAGAGATATTTCGCCCCATCAAGTCCGTACTACCAAAAATATACTATTATTTACACTAGCTCCATTTCACTGCACTAGGCCCATAGCCTTGAATGTTATGACACTTCAAGTGCTCATACAAGTATTTCATAAAGATTGTGGGGTTTTCCACCTCAACTACCCTCCCAGGCAGTGCATTCCTGACACCCACCACCCTCTCAGTGAAAAGGATTTTCCTCAAATCCCCTCAAAACCTTCTGCCTTTCACTTTAGAATTATGATCCTTTGCTATTGACACCCCCCCCCCCACACCCCCCGCACAACTCAGGGGAACAGCTGCTTTCTATTCATCCTGTCTGTCATTATTTTATATATGTCAATCAGGTCCCCCCTCAACTTTCTCTGCTCCAAAGAAAACAAACTGAGCTCCTCCAGCCTCTCCTCATAGCTGAAATGTTCCAGCCAGGCAACAAACTGGTAAATCTCCTCTGCACCCACTGCAGAGTAATCACATCCTTCCTATAGCAGAACTGCACACAGTACTCCAGCTGTGGCCTAACCAAAGTCCTGTACAGCTCCAACATGATCTCTCTGCTCTTATAATCTGATAAAGGTATGCATCCTACATGCCTTCTTCAAGTACCCTATTAACCTGTTTTACAACCATGAGGGACTTGTCCACAAGCACCCCAGGATCCCTGTGTTCCACTGAGCTTCCCAGTGTGCTGCTATTCATTGAGTACTCCCTTGTCTTCTTCCTTCTTCCAAAGTGCATCACCTCGCTCATCGCGGTTAAATTCCATCTGCCACTCATTTGCCAATCCGTTTATATTTTCCTCTAACTTAACAACTTCCTTCTCATTGTCAATGACCTAGCCAATCTTTGTATCATCCAAAAACTTACCTACCATCCCTCGCACATTCTTATCCTCATAACTTATGATTATCACAAACAATAGGGATCCAGCAATGATCACTGTGATACACTACTGCACACCAGGCTCCAGTCATCCAAACAGCCTTCCACCACCACTCTCTGTCTCCTGTTACTAACCTAATTTTGGATCCATTTTGTCTAGTTACCCTGGATCTCATGAGCTTTACCTTCTTTATCAGTTTTTAATGTCAACCTTGTCAAAGACCTTACTGAAAGCAAAGGATTTTTTCAAAGCTCTGTTTATTGTATCAGTTTCAGAATAATTTCAAAGACTTCCATACCTGCCAATGGCTCATTGATTTGGTACATTATTGGTACTGGAATAGTCAGAATGCAAGATTCATGAGTGGCATAGAAGAGGCACGGGGAATATGAAGAGGCATGGAAGGGTGGGTGAGATAATGAGGATGTGTGGGTTTGAAGGGCTAGTATTCTTCTTTACAATTGTGTCAAAGTCCCAGTAAATAGAGACAAGTTTTCCAAACTGCTTGTGTGTCTCGATTGTTGCCTTGGGCCAGCCCAGTTGGCACCAAGTCCATCCTGTCCCTGCTTATCGAGAACAAAAATCTGGGAGTCTTAATAACACAAATAAATCTGCAAAATTGGACATTTTCCAGACTCCTAATACTCATCTCCTTCACAAAAATCTGGCCCATTGTTTCAGGCTGATTGTCTTTAATCAGAACTGGCAAATATTTTAGCTTTGTAATTAGTTGTAATAGGTTTAAGTGAGTGAAAAAGAAGAAGGAGAAAAGGAACAAAATGTCTGCTACGGGGAAGAGCAGAGAGATTAAATGATAAAACATTGATAGTACAAAGCGAAAGGAAGTGATATTGGGACAAATAAACAAAGATGTGGCTGTAAGAGGTGCAAACAGCAAAACAACGAAAAGCTGTTATCTGAAAGCAAATCAAGATCATCGAATGATCGCAAATCCAAAAAAAAAGTAAAAGGAAGCAAAATGGGAGAAGAGGACACAGCCTGAAATTGTTGAATTTTCTGAGTCTAAAAGGCTGTAAATTGCTGAATCAGGAAATAAAACATTGTTCCTCAAGCTTGTATTGCAGTTAACTGGATCAAGGAAAGGTGTGGAGAACATAAAGGACAAATTAGGAGCAAGGTGAAGAATTCAAATGGCAGGTCTTTAGAATCTTAGCATCATGCTTGTAGACTGAATGCACAACACTGTTCCACAAAGCAGTCATCCATTATCTGTTCAATCTTCTCAATGTAGTGCTGGGTGAAATAAATACTCAGTTTAT